CTACTACACACACACACACACACACACACACACACACACACACACACACACACACACACACTCTTTTTAAATTGATGCAAGGAAATTTATAGTTGCTCACAGTTGGGTGTCGACTGTTCTGTGCAAGATATCCAACCACAGGAAAACAGAGAATTGGAAACTCAGAAAGAGTAGCTTTATTTACATAATACAATTAAGGTTGGTATGGTGACTTGGCTGTATCATACTGGGCTACTCTGAAGAAGATCCAGACTTGGGAGTGACTGTGGGACTTGCTATCTGTGTCAGTAGAAGGCTGTTTTCATAGTGCATAGAAAGTTCCCACTACCTTTGCTCTAAACAGGAGGGAGGAGCTAGCCAGTTGGTAGTCAGAGAATAGCTTTGGGTTGTATGTCCAGCAACAGCATGAGTGTGTGTGTCTGTCTGAGGAAGTCCCTAGGCTTTATAGGAATACCTGGCTTCTTTGTTCCTCCAAAAGTTATGTTCCTTATATCAACAGCTATACGAGTTCTGATACTCTTCACATTATCTTACCACGTTTGCTTTGTCTAACTCATTTATCATTCTGTTCCAAGCAGGTGTGGACAATGAGCAACCTCTTTTTGGATTGCCCCCTTCCATTGCTGCATGTTATTCCTCCTTGTGAAAGGACGTTTTGTATCCAGTCTGGGTTTTAAGGGTTGTACTGGCCCTAATGTAACAACTTGTGAAATGGAACTTTTGTTAACAGGTCATTTGGGTGGCTCATGCCTAGAGCATTGTAAGCAGATTTTGCCCAGTAGTTAATAGTGCATTCATATATAAGTACAGTGAGAGGAAGGATGGTCCAGTGATTAGCCTGGGACTTGGGAGACCAGGATTCAATTCCCTACCCTTTGTGACTTTGGCCAAGTTACTGTGTCTCTCAGTGACCCATCTATAAAATGAGGATAATAGCACTGTAGTCAGGCTGCATTATCATAGATTAAAATCTATTAAAATCTTTAACATACAATTTAGTACCACCTCCATAGATCCATTTCTGATACAGCTATCTATCCCAAAGTACTGCGCTAGCAACTATACAGGTGGGAAAAGAAACAAACAGTGACCCTAGAATGAAAGAAATTATATGTATTCTTTCCCTTATGTTCTTTATAATTTCACTCTCTACAAAGGGAAATGTACTGTTATAAACAACAGCAACGGAAAGAGTTGGGGAGATGATGGGAGGAATTTGGCAGACGTGTTAATTGTTAATATTTTAGTTTAAATCTGTTATAGATGTTTCTAACTATACATGGATTCACAATACTACAATAAACAAAATTTAAAACCCTCTCACAATTCTAGAACTGGAGAACAGGGAAAAATGCTCATCCCATTGTTGGTAAAAGGGGAGTAGGTCATGTGGGTAAAATTCTGATGCTTGAAACCCCAGCAAAGAAAAACAACAACAGTGAAATAAACTTTGTTTCTTGGTTAATCAATTCTTGCTGTCACAAGAACAACCCCCTTCCTTTTTTGGAAAGGTAAATAAAGGCAACTAAGTATTAAACAATCATATAAAGGCTAAAGCCTTGATTGATGCCATCTGGCATTTAATACCAGCTGTAAATATGTGGTTGTGTAGTTTTAATGTTGTGAATTGTCTTACTCAGCAGGCTAGTATCAGGAGAGGAATTTACACAAACTGAATTAAAGGTGTTTCTACAGAAAATAGAATTGTTCGGATCTGCTGAGATAACACAAAAGAAAATATTACATTATAGATCCAAAACAGCTAAACGTATTACATGACAAGATGATTAAGACTCTTGTTTTTAATTTCACTAAAGCTATCTCTATTCAAATTTTATTTGGTGAATTTGCTGCCAATAAATTTTCTAAACATTAGCAAGTTATTCAAGTGCTTTTTAATCAAAAAAGTGAACAAGAGTCCTTACTTCCATGAGAGAGATGAACAAGTCATAATGTTGTGATTTATCAGTTTGTGTTCAGCTCAGACATCAGTTCTATGCAACTGTTGTTAACCTCAACTAAGGCATGCTTTGTCCATAATACTAACAATATTTTGATTGGCAAGGAATAAGAATATGACAAACTAGGTTTCCACTGACAGTTCAGATTGAATACATTATTCTCTATCTCACAGGCTTGCTGAATTTTTATTCTTGTAAACACTAAATAAGTTTGTAATTTCATTGTCTTTACACTGCTTTATGGGTCCAGCGGTGTCACCCTTGGAACTCTGGAAAGACTAAAAGCAGCCCAGAGAGAATGCTACATGCAATACGCTATTATAGAAATGCCCTAATGCAGCGGTGTCCAAACTTTTCCTGTCATGCCCTCCCCGCCCCCCTACCAGTAATGGAATCCCCTCCATTACGGCACAGTTGGCTCAGCAGAGGAGTTTGGGCTGAAGGTGCAGCTGGGGGCTGAACTCGGGATGGGGGAGGAGCTGGAGCTAGAGGCGGAGATGGCCTGGCAGTGGAGCGGGGGCAGAGTGGAGTTATGGCTGGGGGCAGAGCCCTCCCCCCCATCCCCCGTAGGGGCTGGCTCAGGCCTCGCCACTCGCCCAGGCCTCGCCACTCCTCCACCCCCCCAAAAAAAAGTTCCTACGCACCCCCCTAGCGGGGCATGCACCACAATTTGGACACCACTGCCCTAATGGCTCAGTAGTTAAGGCTGTTTTGAGTTCTCCACTTAAAGCAAGGTATGAATCCCTTAATTAAAACAGGAACATTCACAGAAACATTCACACTTTTAAGTGCCACAGTGGTACAATTCAAAAAGGTTTAAAATCGCTTTTTTCAGGTTTCCACCGATTTTTTTTCCCCCCAAGGTCACATAACATCACAATCTCAAGTCACAAATGTACAATTTCACAAGGGTTTCAACTTGCATTAAAGCCCAACCTGGAGTTATTTGTGAGGAAAAATAAAAATATAAAATGTGATTTGGTTTTTCTGTTATAACTTTGTTTTGGTTTGTTTTCTTGCGCCACGGAGGCTGGAAGAGTACTGAATGTTCACAGCCAGCTTCGGTTGCTTCCCAGGTCATGAGGAAGGCCACCTCCCCATCTGACAATCCTATCCAGGTTCTTACACCGCACTGTACTGTGGAGTCTAAACACCTTCCAGAGCACCTTACCAGATCGGCATTCATTCTGACAGACCTTGCTAGGTATGCGAATTCAGGGCTTTCGGTCTCAAACTCTAGCAAGTCTACAAAAAATTAAGGGGAATGGGTGATTTAGAGGATGACAAATAACAAGGAAGCCGCAACTTCAGAGGGTACAGAAGGCACCTATAGGGGTCGGGGACAAACGTGGAATGAGAAGGCAGCATAGGGGGCACAGGGACAGAGAAACACCTTTCTCCCTGTTAGACATTTTAAGCATGCAAAGTTTAGCACTTTCAACTTGGAAAAAGAGCTTGCCTGAACTATCTTCCTTCCTTCACATTCCATGAAGCTATAAATCCCCCCTCAACACACACACCCCATATATAAAAATCTACAAGCAGAAGAGTCCACTGCAGTACCCACCATTGCTATGGTGTGCCTCATGACATCTACCAGAGCTTAGTTTTCCCCCTTCAGTACTTACCCGCCAGGACTACTTAAAACTTTTGTTGTTAAAACAAAACCACCACACACCAAGGAAATTCTCACACCAAAAATGCCATTAACGTACAGTTAAAGTTGCTCGAGTGTATTTCCTATCAGCACAAATTAAAAATCAAGGAAATCACCAGTTTAGGCAACATTAACATCCAAACAAACCTCAATTCACATCTTTTACCCCCACCAAATACAATCACAGACTCCTCAACTCTAAGGGCTTGTCTTCACTACCCGCCCGGATCGGCGGGTAGAAATCGATCTCTTGGGGATCGATTTATCGCGTCTCGTCGGGATGCGATAATCGATCCCTGAATCGAACCAGCCCAGGTAGGAGTAAGCGCCGTCGACGGGGGAGCCGCAGCGGTCGATTTGCCGTCATCCTCACAGTGGGGTAAATCGGATCAGATACGTCGAATTCAGCTACGCTATTCCTGTAGCTGAATTTGCGTATCTAAAATCGATCCCCCCCGTAGTGTAGATGTAGCCTGAGACAAAGGGTGGACTTTTCAAAAATGCCTATGTGATGAAGGAGGCCTAAGTCCTCTTCACGTAGGCACTTTTGGAAATTCTATCCAAATCCCATTTCACTCCAAAATACACTAACCACAAAGCTCACAGTCAATTCCGCAAAAGTTCACTCAAATGCACAGCCTTAATTCTGACATCACTGTAAAAAAAAGGAGAAAAATATACATTTTTTTTCAATACAAGTATGCATCTTTGTAAGATCTTTTTATAGAGTAAAGAAACACTTGAGCAATCTTAACTATGAGGTAAATATTGGTGTGTGAGCTAAATATATATATATTTATATATGTTAATGTACATGGGATATTATGTGATGTGTTGGAATTAACACTATTTAGAAGAGCATTCCAGTAATTTTCTGGAAGTTAGAAGACAAGAACTCTCTCAATAAAAACTCCTAGAAGAGCATGTGAACATCTGAATGCTACCAGAGACAAGAGCTAATAGAATTCTTCCATACCTTAAAAGCTGCACCTCCATGGATAATGGATTTGATGAAAATCCCAAGGTCAGCCCCAGTCTCCCGAGATTTGTTGCCTTTCAAGCTGACACCAAGTCCAGCAGAACCTGAATCATTCAGGGGTATCTCAAAGGTCAGCTGTTCTGTGGTCTCCAGTGAAAGAATACTGCAGTTGGGCTCTCCTTTCTGTTGGAGAAATTGAAAGATGAAACCAGTGGAAGAAAAAAAAAAAGAGAGAATATTAACACAGTGCATTCTAGGTTTCCCAGATCTAAACCTTTGGACAGGTTCATGTAACTAAAAATAGCTTTACGCCATAGTTCCTTTATCTAGTCAATAGCTTTTGGGCTATTGCCTATGATTTGGTCACATGATTTTGTGACCTAATATATATGATTAAAAATATTTATAAATATGATTACATGGAATATGGAAACACTTCAGTTCCAGGTACTACAAGTTTGATGCTGCAAGACATTTAAGGCGAAGGACTCTGCATTTCAAACATATACAAACAGCTACATTAAAAATGTACTCATATAATTCCCACTGCCCTTACATGTAGCGCTCACTGATTTTAATAGGAGTTGTGTGGTTAGATTTCATACCGCTCTAAGTAAAATCCTTAAAAAATTATTGCACCCTTAGTGGATGAATTGGTGCATGCTTTGGATATCTTTTAAGGTTTGGAGCAGCAGGGTAAGAAACAAAATTAATAGAAAAATGGTATATGCAGAAAAATACCATTTTAAAAAGCAGAACATGAAGTTAGCATTTCTCAAAAGTGCTGGACTGAAGTCCTCTGTTAATCCACACAGGAAGTGGGCACCATACTGGAAGTGGGAGTGGAAACTTCTCAACACTGTCCTGCCAATGTTCCTCAAACCTAACTTGGAGGTATAGTAGAACCTCAGAGTTACAAACACCAGAATTAGGAACTGACCAATCAGCCATTTGGAACCGGAAGTACACAATCGGGCAGCAGCAGAGACCAAAAAAAGCAGATACAGCACAGTACTGTGTTAAACACACACTAGTAAAAAAAAATAAAGGGAAAGTTAAAAAAAAAATATTTGGCAAGATAAGGAAACCGTTTCTATGCTTGTTTCATTTAAATTAAGATAGCCTACAAGCTGCATTTTTCTTCTGCACAGTAAAGTTTCAAAGTTGTATTAAGTCAATGTTCAATTGTAAACTTTTGAATGAACAACCATAACGTTTTGTTCAGAGTTACGAACCATTCCCGACGTGTTTGTAACTCAGAGGTTCTACTGTACCACGTCAATGGGTACAAGGAAGTTCACGCCCCACCCCCTTGCCATCTCTGCTGAGATTGTCCACACAGTATCAATGTGTGGCAGTTGTGGGGCTGGTTTCTGGATAATCATAATGGTTCCTTTATGACCTTAAAGTTTATTATTTGGTCCAACTGGCAGTGGACTGAGGCCACTATACAATACATTTAACACCCTACATGGGCAGCAAGAGGTGTGATCAAAAAAGATAAGGGTAAAAACTAAATGTAAGTGAATGTCAACCATTGAAATAGTATCAACTGAATACATGACTCACTTACATGTATCTAAGGTACCACTATTGCTGATGGAGAGAAACTACTGTCTGAGGGAGGGGTCATACTATTCAGTGAGCTAGAACTATAAACCTTGATTCTAATATGTACCATATACAAATATTTATTAAAAATTAATTGCATGAAAGTCAATTCATTTAATTTAATTGGAAAATACAAAAATGGCACGGTGTTGACACTGATAATTACTGTCTTGATGACATTAGCTTATCTCCAGTACTCTTGCTCCACTTCTGTGCTCTTGCCTTTGTTCACCTGAAGTACACAACTTTCTGTGGCATTTTTTTCTTACATAAGTAATTAACAAAATTATAACATATGGAGGCAACAGTCCTGTAAAAGTTCCCAAAGCCAATGAATAAAAATAAATAAGGGAAACTGGGCTAGAGTGATTAGAGAATATGGTTGGATGTCTGGATTTGTATTGGTTTCAGAATAGCAGCCGTGTTAGTCTGTATCCGCAAAAAGAACAGGAGTACTTGTGGCA